GGGGTGGGGTTGCCACCATGATTACTTTTTCTCTTTGGAGGAATCAGATCAAGAGCTTGTACTTCTTGTGTGCAGGGAGCTTTAGCATCACAACAAATCCATGGAGTTGGGGACTCTTTTTAGCTCCATTTTATGGAGGAGCAACCGGAGACTCAGAGAGGTTAAGCCACTTGCCTGAGGTCACACAGCCCACTCCAGAGCCTGTGCTTATAACTTCCTCTCTGTTCTGACAGCATTTCCCCGTGGGGTCCTCAGTTTCACCTAGCCCCTCTAACTCCTGGGAAATGGGGACTCCTGTGGCCTGTACACGGCCAGGGGTGACAGCCTGAGGATACAGGCTGCTTTACCTCCCTCTCTGGCGGAGGCTGTTGGGTGTGCTTTCGTGACTTTTGGGGCTTCATCTCAGCTCCCTTACTCCTGCAGCTTCACCTCAGCTCAGCCAGATTTCAGGCCACCTGTGAACAACGCTGCCCAGCCCATTCAGACCGAGAGAGGCTATTTTAGGCTTTGACTTAGAGGCTTAAAGCTTTTTGGTTTCTGATCTGTGCTTCCTCCCTCCTGAGCTGTTTGTGCCTGGAGTCAGGTGATGAACTGAAGATGCTGAGCTGGGATCTGCATGTCTTTTGGTCCCCGGGATGGGATGCTCACAGTGAAGGCTCTGGTTTTGGGGCGGGGGTGAGGGGACCCCCAGGGGCCTGTCACTGGCTGGTGCTACATTTGTGTGAGATGGAGGTTGTCATCCTCTGTAACCCCTGTCAGGTGGGGGACCCTCTGGGAAGGCTGAGGAGCAGCCAGGTGGCACTCAGGTGTTCCCCTCGGCTCCCCGCATCGCTGGAGCCTGACAAACTTGGATTCCAGCCCTGGCTCTCCCACGTCCTTGCTTTGTGACCTTGGGCAAGTTACTTCCCGAAGCCTCGGCTGGTCATCTGGGAAACCAGGATAATAACTCCTCCCTTACTGGCCAAGGTGAGGATTTAATGACATGGAACACTCAGCCCGGACCTTGGCAGAGCGTCCTTGCTCCCTTCGTGGTGACAGTCATGTCACAACAGTTGATTACCATTTTCTTACCGTTATTCTCAAGCCCCTCAGATCAGGATCAGAAGAGGAAGGCAACTTGGAGACCCGGGCTTGCCTGGTACAGCGTGTGCTGTGGTCTGACTACCTGAAGCAGTGGGGACAAGAACCCCCCAAGGCCTCTGGGAACCTGACACATGGGGGCGGGAGACATGACCTGGGACTGGAAATCAGGCAGTGAGCTGGGGTCGGGATGCAAGAGTTTCTGAACTCACTTGGCCGTGAGCCCAATGAACTGATTCAGGCGCTGAGGGGACGTGTTCGCGTGTGGTTGGATCCCAGCCAGTGGATGGTAGGGGAGAAGATGGCGAGGGTGGCAGAAGGCACGACCCCAAACCCCTGCAGGGGCCAAGCGGGGACAGGAAAAGAGTGAAGCCTGGTGTGAGACGACAGGGCGTGGTGGGGACTGGGGACCTGGGTAGCCTGTCCCTTATCCGAAGGGGCCACCATCGCTCAGCCCACGGCAGTGGGTGTCCATTGTTGCCACAAGTTGTGATTTTTCAAAAGGAGCTAGAAGTTGGCAGTTTTTATCTGACATTTCATGATATAAAAAAATTTTTTTTTAATTGGGGAATTGGGGGAGGGAAACAGTGTTGAGGAATTGGGAAGGGGACCAGCTAAGTTGCTGTTCTTCAATCTTAGTTGTGGAGGGCGCCAGTCGCCATCTGGCTGCCCGTCGGCAGCTCGTGGCCTCTAAGCTCAAGGTGCTGTGTTCAATCTTAGTTGCGAGTGGGTGTAGCCACCATCCCATGGGAGTCGAACCAGCAGCCTTGTTTTTAAGAGCTCACGCTCTATCCACTGAGCCATCCGGGTGGCAGCTCAGCTCAAGGTGCCGAGTTCAGTTTTAGTTGTGGGCGGGCATAGCCCACCATCGAACAGGCAGCCTTGTTGTTAGGAGCACATGCTCTCACCAGCTGAGCCATCCTGCCACCTGTTGGCAGCTCAGCTCGGGCGCAGCGTCACTGGCCCATGTGGGAATTGAACTGGCGGCCCTGTTGCTCAGAGCTTGTGCTCTTAAGCTAACTCTTAACCAACTCTTGAGTCACTCGGCCGGCTGATTTTTAAATATTTTTACATCACCAAATTCGAATGTTTAAGAAGCACCATACGGGCCAAACATAGCTTGTTTGAAAGCTTGGTTTGCGAGTGTGGACTCCAGGTTGCGACCTCTGAGCGGGGAGGTGGACCCAGGCAAGTGGTGGGGATGGGCTACGGGTGGGCTGGAGGGGCCCAGCCAGTGTGGCCTGGGATGGGGGGGGGTCTGACTGGACAGCAAGGTTGGGGAGGGGCTGAGGCAGAGGTGGGCACTGCATCTTTGAATGGGGTCGAAACAACCACAGGGAGAGTTCTGACTTAGAGGTTCCCTGGACCCTGGGCGCATGCTGGTGGTGGTGGGGGGGGGTGCGCGGGAATCCATAAACGCAGCCTTGGGGGCTGGGAAGGGAATGCATTTTGGTTAAAGGCAGGGCTGACCTCTAACCCTGTCCCCACTGACACTACTGTACCAGTTGTGAAAAGACTGAAATATACTTTTCAGCTGATTGGTAAATAGCCAGCGGGCTCGCTGAGCCTGCTCCTCCCACCTTCCACTCATCGTCCCCTTTTAGCTCCCCCCACCCCACCTCGCCATGATCCAGCAGCTAACGCGTTAACCCCCAGCACAGCCAGGCTCTGTGGTTCATTCTGATTGGCCGGTGGGCAGTGCCTGAGCCAATGGGATTGTCCAAGCCTTGACTCTTACTCCCCCCATCCTCCTTGGATCCGCTTAAGCACCAAGGAGAGCGTTTAGGGGCCTCAGGGGAGTCAGATGGAATAGAGGGCAGGACGCCAGGCCCCTGAGGACTGGAACCAGGAGCTCCATCCCTGAAAGTCATATGTGACCTCTGTCTTTGTTCCTCTCTGGTGCTTGGAGCCCTCTGTAAAAAATGGCCACCTCAGCCCTGGGGCGCCATGTCTCCTGGCCACCTGCGTCCCAACCACTGAACATATGAGACATGTGAGCCAAACATTCGCCTTTCTGCCAGTCGCCTATGTCCGAGGCAGTGGGACCTCTCAACATGCAAACTTGCCTATCAGAGATGGCACTGGGCATGGCAGGCATGGACTGGCACCCTGACCGACTCCCCTTGAGGATGCGGGAGTCATGAGGACCCCTGTGTGGCTTTATTCCAAGCTCTTCCAGGTGGCAGAAGTGGGAGGCGGAGAATTGATTAGGGGATGACCTGAGTGGTCCTGGTGGCCTGAGGGATTGGGGTGCTGGGCTTGGACTTGGTACTTGAGAGCGTGAGCCCTCTGAAAGCTGAGGCAGGCGAGGAGGCAGGTGAGCCTCCAGCAGCCTCCACGTAAACCGTAAAGAAACCAACTTTCCCCTGCCGACTTGGCGCCGTCGTACACAGCTCTCTCCACATCATTTTCTTAAGCACCACGCGTGTCGTGCGGAGGCTCTCAGGTTGCCGGTGAGGTGGCAGCCTGCTGCTGGCATCACAGCTCATTGACCTCTTGGTCGTGCCAGCCACTGGGCAGTGCTGTGCTCGCAGAGGCTGGGGAGCCCGGACCCGTCCCTGCACCTCTCGGCTCCCCAGTTCCCTCATCTGTAAAGTGGGGGGTAGTGAGTGGTACATACTTCATAGGGACGCTCCGAGGATTCCATGCTAACGCCTGGTTCCTCCCTGAAAATAGCTCCCAGTGTGAGTCATCACTCAATAAATGTTAACTCTCACTCGTGAAGCATTGCTTGAGCACCTTCTGTATGCCAAATACAGCATGTGCCCCGGGATGTAACGGCGAGCGGAACTGCATTGTGATGCTTGCAGCTCGTCAGCTAGAGGACCGTGTAAGATGCTGCAACAAATAGCCCTTCAATATGGTGACTTAGACAAGGGAGAAGGTACGGCGCCTCTCAGGGGTCTGTCCAAAGGGACAAAGCCCAAGACTGGCTTGGATGGTTTTATCCTTTCAACACCTGGCTCCAAGTTTGGGTCCAGAGTGCTGACTGCCAATTCTCACCATCTTCTAGCCAACCAGAAGCAGGCAAGGGGCCAAGGAGACCTGTACACATTCCATTTCAGGGAATTACTCCAAGGCACACACATCCCATTGGCCCGCACTCAGTCACATGGCCACACCAGCTGCAAGGGTGGCTGGGAAATGTGGTCTCTAACTGGGCGGCCATGCTCTCTGCTAACGGGATTCTATCATTAAAGGGGAGAATGGATAGATATTGGTGCAAAACTGGCAGGCTCTTCTACAGCCTGCAGACTATTCATTGCCCTTTGAACGCCATTCTGTAGGTGATGGGGTACCAGCAAACGGCCTCGGTGCGGGGTGGGGTGGTGTCATGCCCAGACCTGGGTGTGAGGTCACTCTAGAAGCTTGCTGGGAGGATAAAGGGAAGAAATAAGAACAAAGGGACCTGTTTAACTGATGTGGCTGCCGCTCTGTTTTGCCATCTCTGGAGTCCTTGCTGGAGGCGGGAGTCGGCAGGGTGGGTTCTCAGATGGGCGACCTGCGGGCGCAATGAGGGTGCTGGGGCCAGAATGGGGACCCTTAGGTATCTTTGTCGCCCATTCTCTCAGCCCCTGTTTGTCAGGCATTGTGTCTGGGCTCAGGTCTCCAGGGATGATCCCACAGGCCTGATGAACGCTGGGGGCCGAGTTCAGTTCCTGGTTGTTCTCCAGTGACACTCAGTGCGGTGTGAATGCTGGCATGTCACACTGACGCTGGCCTTTTGTCTCCATCTCTTGCCTCTAGGACCCCCGGAGCAAACACAAGTTTAAGATCCACACTTACTCCAGCCCCACGTTTTGTGACCACTGCGGGTCCCTGCTGTATGGACTCATCCACCAGGGGATGAAATGTGACAGTAAGTACCTTCGCTCCCTGGAAGTCTGCCTGCGGACTGGGCTGCTTCCTTGGGATTTGGGGGTCTCAAGTTCTGGGTGGGTGGGTGTATCCATTGTCTGTTGCTGAGTAATGATCCTCTCGCCCCAAAACGTAGTGGCTTAAAACAATCACCAATTTATTTAGCCCATGACGCTGCAAGGCAGTCCCTTTGTGACTGGGCTGGCTTACTCATGCATGTGAGATCAGTTAGCGGGTTGGCCGGGGCCTGTCTGGGCCTGCATGGCCTCCCCCACATGTCCTGGCTGTCACTTGGGTGATGGGGATCCTGGGGCCACGTGCCTTTCATCCTCGGCAGGCTAGTCTCGGCTTGCTCACACTGTGGTCACAAGGTCCTCAGGGCTTTAAGAGAGCAAGTCCCTTCGATCAAAACACATCCCACGGCAAAGTTCACAGTCCATGTGGGAGGGGCAGTCATGGGTGTGGACACAGCAGGCCGTTCCTGCAGCCGTGCACACAGCTGTCTGCACCACTGCCGTGCAGGGCCCATGCCTTCTTTGATGGAGACATGCCTCCCTTCAGCACCCACAGGCTTCTGCTAGGAGGAGAGAAGAGGCTGACCTCAGGCCAGGCTGCAGAAAGGTGGGCCAGGGACAGGGGACAGCACTTGTCTTTATTGAGCGAAGGACTGAAGGGGCAGGGGAACCAGCAGGCTTTGTGAGCTGTGGCTGCAAAGGGACAGGGGTGACTCAGTGTGCTGGTGGGTTCCAAAGACCTGTTGGCCTGCAGCAGGCCGAGCTGTCACAGGTCCAGAGGACAGAGGGAGACACTCATGGGGCAGAGTGACAGAGAAGAGTGAGTATGGACGGAATGGCCGAGGGCGAGAGACAGAGAAACACATTCGGGCACAGCCATTGACAGCTTCAGGGGGACAGACGACACAGGGACAGGGGCACAGGGAGTAATGGGGACCAGAGCCACAAAGGGCATCAGCTGGAGAGAGACTCAGGCAGAGGAGGGACAGACAGACAACGGACAAAATGATGCGGAGTGACACACAGCGATGTAGATACCGGGACACAGACAGACGGACAGACACAAGGCAAGAGCCACAGAGACACACGTGTTAGGTGGGGCCCCTGGTGGACACACAACACAAGGCTCTGATGACCCCTGCCTGTAGGACACTGACCCTCTGAGCACACACGGGCCCCGAATGTGGAACGATGCCCGTGACCAAGGACAGGGTGGGTGATGGGAGGGAGTCTGGGCCGACGCCGGGCCCTGAACTTGGGCTCTTGGGTCCCAGACAGCTCTCCTTTCGTCTTGGTCTCCCACCGGCCTGCTCTCCGCCCAACTCATTTGCAGTTTTGTAATTTGCCCGCTGCCTCCTGGAGCGTGGACGGGCTGAGAAGGGGCCCCCTCAGTACACCCCTGCCCCTGGGGATGCCATGCACCCTGGTTCCTGTGGACAGGCCCATGGAGTGAGGCAGCGCCTCCCCTGGCTTCTCAAACTGGAACGGGGTCCCCCTAGAGAACATGATTCCTGGCACACCTCCCTAGAGCAGCCATTGTTTGCTCCAGAAGACTTAGGGGACAGCGACACCCATGGAAACAGGCACAGAGACCCCACGAGTGTGGGAATGGGGCCCAGCCTATAAATAAAACTCATGAGACATCAAGGGGTTAGATCAGTTGACAGACTATTTCATGCCTCTTATCCTGTGTCTAAATTCTTTCCCTGTAATTAGTTACAGTGGAGGCCCACCCCAGTGTCTGTGGGTTCACAACTGTACCCTAGTGGGGATTTGCCCTTGGGGTCCCACCCAAGATAGCGCCCGTCCCAGAGGGGGGCTCCTGGCCAGAGCTGGCTGATGCGGGCATGCAAAGGCCCAGCACTCTTGGCTCAATTCTGACAACCGTGAAGGGTCCTCTGAGCCCAGGAGCCCCCCTTACCGCCCGCCCCAGTGCAGCCCTGGCCCCTCGCTCCCCGAGCACAGGCCCTAAACCTGCTCACGCTTCCCAGGGAACCTAACCCATCAGGGGTCAACATTTAAAATCGAGAGATGCCACTTCCAAATGGGGACACATGAGAAGCTGGCCCCTTTGGGCACACACCTCCCTTGGCTGTGCCAGAGTGCGGCTGCGGTGTCCTGGGGTTGGCCCAGTCCTGCCACCCCGACATGTCCCCTCACGGTGTCACCTGCCACCTTGGCATCGAAGTTGGTGACTCTGGCTTTGGAGCCCCTGGGGGTGTGCGTGTGCAGCCACGGACCAGTTCCACCTCCTGTGTCCATCAGGGCCCGGGGTGGGGGGTGGGGAGAGTTGGAGAAGCCCTTTGATGTGACTGCAGGAGAGCTGGTTTCCACAAGCCTGGAGGGGAGGTGAGGGAACCGGAGGCTGGGGGCAGACGCCCTGGGCCAGCCTGAGCCGCGCCCCCTCTGCCCTCAGCCTGCATGATGAACGTCCACAAGCGCTGCGTGATGAACGTCCCCAGCCTCTGTGGCACGGACCACACGGAGCGCCGCGGCCGCATCTACATCCAGGCGCACATCGAGAGGGAAGTTCTCATCGTTGTCGGTAGGTGGCGCTGCGGCTCCGGACCCGGTTCCACCTGGGTGTCAGGTGGGGAGGCCGGGGAAGGGACAGGACTGCTGGTTACAGCCCTTCCCCGCTGGCGGCGCCTCGGGCTGGTGGAGCTCAGAGACGCCCACCCTCCCCTCCCTTCCCCTCTCCCCTCCGCTTTTGGAGTGTGCAGCCCTTAAACTTTTTCCGGTAGGAAAGATAGAATCCATGATAAAACCAGGTGTGGGAGAGTGTTAGTTGCATCTTGAGGAGGAAGAGGGGGGGCTTGCAGCGAGCATCCCTGGGGGCTTTCCCAGTATTTGCAATAATCGTTTCTTAACGCCTGATGGTGGCTACGCCGGTCCCTGGTATATTGTTCTCTATACTTTGGGTGCTTCTGAAATATTTCATTAGAAGAAAGAGGGATAATGCAACCTGGCTGGACAGGAGCGCGGTGTCTGCCACTCGTGTAGTGGGTCCCTCAGGAGGTACTGGCTGTGACACAGACGCCCAGGCTACACGCAAATCCGGCTGCACTTCCCTGGGAGGTGCTCAGCCGTGAGCTGCGGCAAAACCAGCTCCGGCCTGGCCGCGAACGGGCTGAAGCTTTGGAGGAATTCTGTCTCTGAGGCGTGTGACGCCAACTGCTATAAGACGCTATAGCTAGTCAATATCCTCAGGTTTTATGACTCGGTAACTTAGGAAATTGATCATGGAAGGGATTGATTTTGCAAAGCTGGGTTTGTCTCTGAGGCCCTGGAATGGCTCAGTCGCTCCGATGTGCTGAGCCCGGTGCTGGGAACCGCCTTACCTATACCATGGGAAAGGTGAAAAATATCGCTAGACAACATAAGCCCTGTTTTAAACTGGTTCGTGACTTGTAGTGAGTATTCCGTTGAATTGCTTTTCCTTCTAGAAGGAAGGCAAGCGGCTGGCTTCTTCCCAGTGGGGTACTTGGGGGTCCTGGGGGAGAAGGCTGCCATCACAGGTTCAAAAGTCACTGGGTTTTCCTACTGACTAAGCGTCCTGGTGCGGAATGGGGCAGAAATGAGACCCTGCTGCCCTCTACTGTCACATTCTAGGAATGACACTGGCTCAGATATGTTCCTGGAGCCTTCATGCAAGGGTCATTTGTTGAGTCAGCACTGATGGAGCTCACTGAATGTACAGTGCTCAAAACCATACTTACCATAATGCCCTCAAAGCCCAGCCGTGGTTCCCACCTGCAAAAGGAAGTGATAATTGTGCGCTGTGATGGATAGTGGCAATAAATGTATCAAATTCACACATGGTCCACTTTGACCATACGCAATGTTGCGAGTCAATTATGTTTCAATTTTTAAAAAGCCTTACATGTTATCTCTTTCAATCCTCATGAACCCTGAGAGATAGCTAGTATGCTCATTTTATGAATGAACATACTGAGGCTCAGAGAAGTTAAGCGTCCAAGAGGTCATGCCAATAATAATAATAGTAATAATAATAATAATATAATAAATACAGTAGCTAACATTTAAGTTCTTAATGTGTCAATCACTGTGCAAAGCTCTTACGAGCTGTATCTTAAAATTATTTGCAGCAGCTCTAATGAGCTAAGTGGTGTCATTCTGCTGATCAGGAGCCAGGCTGAGAGAGCCACATGCTTCGTCATGGTCTGTTTGACTCTTAAATACGATATACTAGGTTACTATGTAGTTTGGTTCCCTGCCTCACACCCCACGCCTTACGTATTCCCTTTGTGGTTTAGCTAAGTTACCTCTCGTGGACACTTCTTGGGAAGTTGCTCCATTTGGCGCAAAACAGCATTTTGTCAAATTCAAGGTCAAACTCTACCCCTTCATCACACATATGCTGTGACACATCTTGATTACAAGCTGACGATTCTCGGGCAATCCTAGTACGTACCTGTGAGTAGGGGTTATATTCCTTTCCTAGAACAGCCCTAACAAAATACCCAAAACTGGATGACTTAATAGGACAGATATCTATTCTCTAACTTCTCTGGAGGCTAGAAGTCTGGAATCAAAGTGTCGGCAAGGCTGGTTCCTTCTGGAAGGCTCCGAGGGAGAGCCTGTTTACGCCTCTCTCAGTCTCTGCCCAGGGGGATCATGGGAGCGGCCGGACAATGTCAGAGGCTCAGGTCAGAGTGGTAAAGGGCTGTAGTTCCTGAAGGGTCACGTCCTTCTACATGTAACCCCCTTTCAGCTCAGCATCTTCCTTGTTAACATCGCAGCCGATGTCCCGTTATTTCCATGACTGCCTCCATCACCGCCATCTGCGAACCCATAACCACATCCATATTTGTATCCGTGGCTCTATCTCACAGGAGCGTGGGGCTGTTCCTAAAAAAAGCTGAAGGACCAGTTTTTGGGGGTTTCCCTTGGGGACTCCACTGCCTTGTGCTGTACGAACCCTTGGACTCCAGGAGGACTTTTGGACTCCCAGTGTCATGCTACGTGAATGCTCCCCCAGACCTGACGTCCACACGTCAGAACAAGGAAGCGCTGAAGGGGTGGGAATTCTTGCTGGACTGTTGGGGACCGTCAAGGACCACATCCCCCCACACACCAGATTCCAGAAGTGGTTTTAAAAGCACTCTTAGGAGAAAGAGAACTGATGTCAAAGGCTTGCAGGGGCCCCTCTTGTTGTTGAAGGAACCGTTTCAAGGCAGTGAAGTCCATGGGGACTTCAACAAGGAGGATGGGTACAAGCAAACCCTGGGGGCCCTTCAGCTCGCCATCCAGTCGGGCACCTTCTTTCTCAAACCAGCATGGCAGGACACGACCGGAAGAGCAGAGGGCAGACCTGGGTGTGTGCTGCACCTGAGGGGTGAGAGCGGGGGCAGCTTGGAGTGATGAGGTGTTCACAGTGGGAGAACGGTGGCATGTTATGGTAGCAAAGTGAGAGGGGCTCGGTAAGCCTGGGTGTTGGTTCATTCGTTCGTTCATTCATTCATTCATTCAGGAAGGGTTTGAGTACCAGGTTGGATTCAGTGACAGGCCTGGTGTCTGCCCTCAGGGAGCTCGCAGCTGAGCAGAAGAGATAGACACAGTTCATTATGTTGCAACGTGGCAAGCACCATGGGAGCGCCCAGAGGGACACCTGGCGCTTTCAGAAGGAAGCGATGGTTGAGCTGGGTGGGGAAGGGGTCTGGGAGTTCCCTGGATGACACAAGCCATGTGTCAGCGTGAAGAAAATGAATACTAGCTGTGTTCATTGAGTGCTGACTCCGGGCCAGGTGCCTCTCACAGATCAACGCGTCAGTCGTCACGGCAGTCCTCTGTCAGAGGTGTGAATAGAATCCCCGTTTTTCATGGGAAGAAACTGAGGCACAGAGCCCAGTGAAGTAGCGTTCCAGGAGCCACACAGTAAGTGTGGATCTCAGATTTGTGCTCAGGCCATGTCGCCGTGCTACGTCCCAGGCAGAGGGAATATGGTGCGTGGCAGGGGGACACGGTCACTTGTTGAGTGTGGCTTCCCTCCCTTGTGTCCTGCATCTAAGCTGCTCTAGAACCTACTCACTCACTCCCCCAATCGGTCACTGATTCACTCAGCAATAGTCATGGAGTTGCCACTGTCTGTTGGGCATTCTAGACCCGTGGGGAACAGTGGGGGACAAGAAACGTCTCCACCTGGACGAATTCACAACCTGGAATCTTTTCTCATCGTTCTTCCTGTCTTGGCCATTGGGAATCTCCTTCCTGTCAGGTTAAAATTCACTGCCCTTTGAGGGTTTTTTTTTGCAGGACGCTGTGCCCACAAATCCCCTTCTTCGATGTGGTTCCCTGTTTGAAAGCTCTGAGTTTTGGGTGTTAGGAACACAAAGCTGGAATGACCTGAAGGCTGTGTCTGCTTTTTGCCCTTCCACATACTTTTCCTGAGCTGGCTTTCTGCTTTAGAGGGAAAGAGAAGAGGGGAGAAAAGGGGAAATGCAATGAAGAAAAATCTAGATGGATTAGCACCTCGACACCTTACCCAGCCGGGCCTCAATGCTGGGACTGATCACAGACGAGGCCACCAGGGCCCACCAGGGGGCAGTCTCTGCCTTCCATCCCCTCCCACACACAGAGGCTCTTTGTAGAACCAAGTAAATCCATGTCACCATCATGTCCCTAACGGGAGGCATCGCAGAGAACAGTAAGGACACCCTCCCCCCATTAAACAGCTGGCTCACTGAGGCCCAGAGATGGGAAGCAACTTCTCAAGGCCACACAGCATAAAGCCGGGTAGCACCCAGCTCTGTGGGTTTCCCCCTTCCTGATGCATTACCTGTTAGTATTTTTTCCCCAACATAACACCAAAATTGAAAGACTTTTACAGCTAACACCCATGTGTCCACTCCCAAGATCCCACCATTAACGCTCACGGTACTTGCTTAGCCAGGATCTATCCATCAATTATCCTGTGTCTGGTACATTCCAAAGTCAGTGAAAGACATCGGTTAAGTCCCGCCTCCCCCCCACCCAAACACTTCAGCGGGCACGTCATCCACTAGAGCTCAAGACGTGTTTACAGTTTTGTTTTGACTTTAGAGGTAAAATGCACACACAGGGAAGGGCACACTTCTTGGGTGTCTAATGGCTAAGTTTTGTTGGAGGCGACTGCTGTGTGACCCAATCCCTGCCCAGTGCACCCCTTTTTGTGCTGCCCCAGCTGCTGTTGGGGATTCAACACAATCCTCAGAGCAGCGCCGTGTTTGTGCAGACATGTGTGCCCCCCCGTGCCCCCACAATCCTCCCCCCACTCCAGGAACTGGGGTGCCATGTCCCCAAGGTTCCTCAGACTACATCATGCTTCATAGTTGTTAGATTCTTTAAAACAGAAATTGCAGTGCGGTCAAATAGGCTTGTTGGAAACACTTCGTGGTGGACTCATTGGGGAGAAAATCCCCTAAAACAAACTCAGCAAGACACCCGCGTGGGTTTGCTTCGCTCTGGTGTTTTTGTGATGAAGTTACATCCCGTCTCCATGTCTGGTACTCTCACCATCTCTCTCAGTGCTGTGGACAGTTGTCT